ATTTTTGTCGCCCCCCCCCGGTCCGAAATCCTGGGACCGCCACTGCTACACACGTATTTCAAAGCGGTTCTGTCAGTGTATGCCATCTTTGCAGTCATCGATCCTCTAACAAAGAAAACGTCTTCAAAAATTTCAAAAAATCATTTTGAAGTTTTCTGTATTCATTTCTACACGACGCACATAAATGGAAAAATTTAGGAAAGTTTTTGAATTTTTTGATATTTTTTCATTCCTCGCGAAGCGCTAGAGGCACCGGAGTTCCTCCATGTAAGAGACAATGCCAAGATACGATCTAAAAAATTTCTAGAAGACGGAAAGCACAAATATATGCAGAGAAAAGAATCAGACAAAAATTGAAAATCGGAGTGTTTTTACAAAACTGCCGCAAAATTGTTGGTCATTAGTGCACTTGCGGCATTAATCATGCTGGTGGGTAGACCCTGCTATGTCGTAAGCGTGTGGCAAATCTGGGGTTTTCAGAAAGCTTTTGGACTTTCATAGAAAAATTGGAAAAAAGTGTAACAGAAATTATCCGACAACCTAATAGTAATATCGTATTATGATGAAATTGCTATATCTCGCTCCACAGAAATGCTAGTAAAAAAGACAATCTGTGTCCTTTTCTCGTATCAACAGTTGGTGCACAAAGCTTTACCGTGCCATAAAAGTCTTGCACCACCGACACATAAAAGCCAAGCCATTGAGGATTTGGGTGGCTCAAGCCTCATAGACCATTATTTTGAAAAGTGACTGCCCCACGATCCTTCAAGAAAGTTCTTTGATATTCAAATAATCCTTGATTTTTGGAAAAAAACAACGATTGCCCTATGTGCCGCTCACAGACAGCTTATTTATTTATTTGTTAGTCTAAATTTATGTGCAATCTCCATTTCTTACAACTCCACCTTAATCTCTTCCCATCATCACGTCGGAAACCCCGTTCAAGTCAACTGCGTTTCTCTGCAGTTTTCTACACCGTACCTCAGCTACTTTCAAGCTCGAGGACGAATTTATTCAAAGTCATGATATTCTACGGAAGGTCGCGGCTGCTCGCAGTCCACTGGATCCGTATTCTTGAATCTACTATGTAACTTCAATATGCTTACTTGTAAAGGATGGATGCCCTGCTATCTATAGATCATAGCCAATGATTATTGAATGTTGATCTCGACCATGTACTATGTACCGTGGCGGCTATAAATAAGGCGCCCGGCCGTTGTATTAGTTGTTGTATTTGTCTGTCATCTAGTCTTCTAATAAATCCTGATAATAGGAGTCTTGTCGTCGGTGCTACGAGGAGTGCGGTCGGTTCAAATCGAGGAGCCAAGCCGAGGAGACGTGGACGCGCCGATCGTGTGGAGGATCGTTCTTCAATGAAGGAATTACATCATACCCCTGGACACCACGCCGAGCCCCCGCAATAGCGCCTAGCGTAGGCCAACTATTGCCTGACAAAGAAGGAAGATCCAGTCTCTTCTTCTTGACATACTACTTCAATTTGTATGTTCTCGCCGTATATTACGTGCATACACCAACGCATGTTACCCGGAAGAACATCAACCACGCTAATACCGACCAATCTGAAACGTCAACCATATCATAAGCGCTAGGACGAGCTTTTCGAAGAAATGGAGATGTCGGGTCTATGAGAGCTTTGGGCGAGCTGTAAAGCGCCGCCGGATGACAGTAACCTCTGATGACCGTTATCCAGCAGATATACTAGTGCAGTTCACGGCATAGGTGGCTTACCAAGCAACCTGGATATCGTTTGTGGGAGAAAAAGCAAAGGGGATATCGTTTTTTGCGGAGTAGCATACCGCTGCCTTTCGATATGCGATCTGCTGCCGCCGGCACGATACCGGTATCCCGGCGGTATGCTCTACCAAATAAACAAAGGACTTGTTTACAACGAAGTGAAAAAAATGACACCAAAATTGGTGTGTAGACGGGCAATGAGGAATTAGGACTATGTGTAAAAAGTTATGAAAAAATTATGTGAGCTGAAGGCGTGCTCAACTTTTTTCGGAGTTAGATGGCTTTCAAGCCACCTGGGAAGCCACCTGAGGTGGCTTGACAAAGAAAAAATCATATTAGGTTGAAAACTAAGTTTTGCAACTGGTCCCATAACTTCCCTCTCACTCAACATGGCGCACTCAAATTCTGCCACTGCGTTGGTTATTACGTAAGCTACAAGCGCAGCTGCGGTCCTACCAAATTCTGACGTCGCAGTGAGGGTTACGGTAGGTGCATGGTATGAAGGGGAAAAATTCAATGTTTGAAGGATTTGGCTGAAACTTGGCATAGAGGTGTTATCCGACATGCTGATCACGAAAACGATAGTGAAATTGCGTGATAACGGCTTTTTTGTAGGATTACTGTAGGTGTACGATATGGGGTCTCACCCCAAATAAGGAAAAAAGCGTTGATTCAACAAATGAATGTGATATTCGCGTTTGGCAGGTCAAATAACCTTACTATGTAAAGTCTCGCCGGAATTCGAGCTTCGGACTCTTTAGTCATTGACGGTCGTCCCCAGCAGCTCTTGCGTATATCGACTCGTTCGACTTTATGAGGACGCCAAATCTCGACATGCCCCTAAATTTAAATTCTTTCTTATTAGGCTAAAGGAGTCAACCTTCAGCAATAATTTGTAGACGAATCCGGATTACTGCGCATGGTCTAGGCTACCAAAGGCTTCATTTTAGCTTGAAACCCCAAAAATTCTCAAATTTCATTAGTTTTCGGAAAACGCCTGAAAGCTTTCTATTTCATGTTCAAAATTTAAACAATTTGTGCTCTCTTGTAGCTCACATTGCCTTCTACATAATGCCAAAGTTTAAGTGCGCCATGTCCAAAGAGAGTGAAGTTATGAAACCAGTTGCAAAACTTAGTTTCCAGCCTAATATTTTCCCTCCCTCACATAATTTTTTCACCTTCTTTACATAATTTTCATCTACATCCCAAGCCCTACAAATTGATTCTGACCGCGTGAAACCCCCTCCTCGCTTAGTTACAACCTCTTGAAAATTTCGAATGGCGGCGGCAACGCTGCTCCAGTTGCGTAGTGCTGCGCGCTAGGTACATTATGCCGCCAATCCGGAGAATACCAACATCATCGCGTTTGTTTGATGCTAATTTGGCGTTTTTTTTGTTTTGTATTGTTTCGTTCCTTTCCATGTGTTCTTTCTTATGCTATCTCATGGCGGATGTCGTACTTTTATAGTGAAATCAAAGGGGACTTTGTTTTGTGCAATTTCGAGGAGCCACGTCGTGCCGAGCCCTGTACTAGGGTTATGTACCACCACGCTACACATCAAGTGAAGGACCTGCAGACCTTCATCCAAATATTTGGATCAAATGCGGATAACGTAGATGTCAAAATTTCTAACTTAACGTCTCGAAAAACTCTGCTTTGAGAAGATATGAAGCGATCGACTTTGCTTGGAAAGTGAAGAACAGATCTTGTAGAACAGGATTGGCTTTTTGAACGGTACAAATACCTGGCCGTTAACTGACCATTTTGTCAGATAACGACCGCACAAGTGACGATCTAAAATAATGTGATCTTCCCTAAAATTAGAAAAAACTAGCAATTTTGCAATCAGCATGCCCACTCACCTCCTCTTCCCAGCCCCGTAGGTGAGACTATGCAAAAAATCGATAAAATCTATTATATTAGGTCGTTCAGAAAGTTCTTTCCGTTTCTTCAACCTATCATAAAAACACGTGGAATGAAGTAGGGAAACGCTTCAGGCAATGTCCGATGTCTTATTCTTCTCAACTGCCATATTCCTGTGCCGCTCGCTCTTTTGTTCAGTGAGATAATGGCCGCAATTTCGGACCCATGCTTTTACCATGTCCAACTTTGGCAATTTTTCACTATTTTCTTTTTTGACTTTTGGAAAAGCTTTGATACCCGTCGGATAGTGTAAACAAAGTGCAATTCTATGCAATTTTCCGGCATCTATAGCTAGCCTTGAAAAATTTTTAGACTCATTTTTCTGATGCGATCAAATTCCACTTTTGGGGATGCCAAAAGCCATAGAACATGACACGACGCACAACTAAGGCGTCATTCGATGCAGCTTTTTCTCCTCTTTTTGATGAGTGTTTTTTCTTCCCGGTTTGTGGGGATTTTGGCGATAAAATTTCCATATACCTTGATTTTGAACCCGACTCATGATGTACCCGTGAAATGAGAAATCTTATATTTCGAAGCGGTAAACGCTCAGTGACTTTGTAAAAATAGTGTACAATCATAAACTCGAAATCCGAAGATTTGTTAGTGTTTGAAGCGTTTGTGTATTTTGCGGCTTCGCAAAAATGAAAACTGGAAAAGTTATTAGGTTGTCCCATAAGTCTTTTCACTTTTGAATTTTCACTATAATAAGTCACACACTTCTTACTCTAAATAGACTCTCAGGATACCATTCGATAGAGCAAAGCAAGCTCTATAAGATGGCGTTTGTGCTTTTGCACCAGCTTCGGTCCACCTCAAGTTTTGAACTAAAATCTGAAAAGTTTCGGATGCCCAAAAAATTGAAAATACAGATCTCTCACTCGCTCAAGTATTCACACTCCACATCAGACATTCATATGTGCTGTTGCTGCATTTTTTTATCAGCTAGAAATCAAGAAACCGAAAATTTTCATGTTTTTACCAAAGTGATGCTGTGCTGTTCTTACACAAGCAGTTGCATAGTAGAAGCCTTCAGAAGTACTGCAGTAAATTTTTGGCTCTCTATATGCTCTAGTTCACGAGAAATATCAAATTTAGCTTTCTTCACTTGGGTTTTTCACGCTTAAATCAACATTTCTCGGAAACCAGAGCTTATATAGAGCTAAAAAATTATGATTGTACTTCTAAGGGCTTGCAGTATACAACTGTCAGTGTAAGAACAGCACAGCATCACTTTGGTAAAAACAGGAAAATTTTCGGTTTCTTGATTTCTAGCCGATAAAAAAATGCAGCAACAGCACATATGAATGTCTTATGTGGAATGTATACACGTGAGCGAGTTTGAGGTTTGTAGGATTTTTTTGAAGGAAGATATAAAAAATTTTCGGTTTTTTGGCCATCCGAAACTTTCTAGATTTTGATTTGAAACTCGAGATAGACTAAAGCTTCTGCAAAAGCACAAACGCCATCTTATAGAGCTTGCTTTGCTCTATCGAATGGTATCCTGAGAGTCTATTTGGAGTAAGAAGTGTGTGAATTATCATAGCGAAAATTCAAAAATGAAAAGACTTATGGGACAACCTAATATTTTAAAAATTACTGAGAAGCCAGTCGATACTGCCAAAAAATTACATTGCATTGCACTTTGTTTACTCTATCTGAGTGCTATCAAAGCTTTTTGTAAAAATAGTGCACAATCATAAACGACTTCTAAAGTTTCGAAATCCGAGGAATTGTTAATGTTTAAAGCGTTTATGTGTTTTGTGATTTCGAAAAAGTGAAGACTTTTGGAAAAATCATCTTACAAAATACTGAAAAGCCAGCTGAAATTGCCAAAAAATTGCATTGCATTGCACTTTGTTTACACTACCTGATCGCTATCAGAGGTCATCCAAAAGTTAAAAATGAAGATTGTGAAAAATTGCCAAACTTGGACATAGTAAAAACCATGGGTTCGAAATTTCGGCGATTGTCTGAGTGTACGCAAGAGTAATCGGCATAGGAACATGACAGTTAGAAAGAAGAAGAAAAGTTGCGTCGGGTAGTGCTTTAAGCGTTTCCCCATCTTTGTTTCACGTATTCTTATGATAGGTTGAAAAAACGGAAAGAACTTTCGGAACGACCTAATATATCGCAATGACAAGGAATAGCCTGCGATTGCCCCGACCTGAATAGTATGTGCTCGAAGTTTAGTCGAGATCGGTCCAGAAATATACATTTTTATATAGAGCATACGCAAAGACAGACAGACGATAAGCAGACATTCAGATTTATTATACACAGATCAAAAGAAAATTGCGCCGCACAACTCGTCTGCATTTTCTATATTTTCTAATATGCCCAAATCTATGGGAACCCACCAAGTACATAAAAGCAAATACATAAAAGGGTAAATTCAATTAGGAGCATACGTACAGACAGACAGACGACACCAGAGTTTACGATGTCGCGATTTTCATTGTTTGCGGTATATTTACTTCGAAATTTTGTCGAAATCAATTAACAAAAGTTTTCTTTAACTTTGCTGCATCGGACTCGAGGTGAGTAAGTTAATATCATTCTGAAGATAAGATGTAGTTTTGATAAGAAGCGTTTTTTCCATTTTTGTGTCTTTCACTATCACATTGCAGACGGGGCCTGTGAGAACGGGCTTGGAGATGACGAAGCTCAGGCAGTGCTCGAGCTGATCAATGAAGCACGTTCAAGTCTGGCCAAAGGAGAACTCGAGGGAAACGGAGATTATTTCACGGCAGCTAAGAACATGAACAAACTGGTCTATTTAAAAGCAGATTTTCCCAATTTCCTTTTTGAACAGACATTTAGCAATAAGTAGGAAAAGTGTTTGCAGGCTACACTGTTGGGAAAAGCGTTTGTACTAAATGCATTTTGACTTTTAGGCTTGGAGCTGCGAACTTGAGTCACATGCAGCGAAACTGATTGGCTTTTGCGATATGCCGCTTCCTTCTGAAATCCCAGTTATCGCAGATGGTCTCGGCTGGAGTCACGTGTGGTAGTACCTATTCCTTTAGATACTGTCTCTGCTAAAAAAAATATTCGGCACCGCTTCTTATCTCTGTGTCCTCCAGTTTTTCTACAAAAGCAATAATCCTCTCATTACAGCGTTTGCTTGATTAAATCATCAAAAAGCGTAAGTGCCTATATCACTTAAGGATAGAAATGACGTCTCCAGTGTCTCAAATCTCAGCCCCCAAAGGATTAACGTAGCAAATAATTTGAGCATGTAGTTTCGCAAAAATAATTTTTTCTTGCCAGTGTACACTGTTTGAGCTCGTTTTTTGATATTATTCAAAATAATATTAGGTTGGTGCAAAAGTAATGCGCGTTTTTCTAGCCCTTGTTTCAAGATAGCTTTTCTCCATTAAAGTTTCTCCTATGAAACTTACCCAGCATACTATCAAGAAGCTTCTTTCATGCTCTATTCAGTGGTGGTTGAAATAAGGTTGTACCCTCATTCATTAGAAATTTCTAGAGCTTCATACAACCGCAATCAAAATCAGAATTTCATTGCACTTACTTTTGTGGCCAGAATTTTAGCGAGAGTAAACGCATTCTCTTGCAAATTTAACTGCTGTATTTAGTGGAATTTTTCTACGTTATGCACACTCTGCTGTTTTCTCAGAAATTATTTAGATTGAAATTTCGGCGCCTCAACATGAGTGATGGTTTTGACCATTCTGTGGCCCACAAATTTCCTTTGAAGAAGGCAATCGCCAAAGTTTCGCCCATTTCTGTAAGCGTAAGAGTGGGCCTCCTGTTGACAGTTTTTGCAGAAATGTGGAAGCTGTTCAGTACACAGAAAATCAAAAATCTCCATATTTTGGGATTTTGAGGGCTACGAAAAAATGTCGGAAAAAGCGAGCAGTTTTGAATAATATTTTTTTCATTTTTGCGAATCTTCTTTGTTTGAGCTCCTTTAAACTTTTTTTTCATACTACTGGCTTGCGGCTACAAGACAGTCAACTTTTCATTTATACCGACAAATCTTGAAGGAAGTTATAATTTAATAGTTAAAAACGAGGTTCCCGAAAAAATATTTTTGCTTATCAATCCATATTTTTCCACCGTTTTGTGATGTTAGCACGAGTTAGTGTGCGCTGTATAAAGAGAAGTTTGGTGCCTCTGATGGACTTGACCGCACTGAAAAATACGAATTTTTTAGAAAGTTATAGCACGTCAAAGTGGGAACTCGCAAAACGCGCATTACTTTTGCACCAACCTAATATTTACCACGATTAGAATAGTATAGCAAAACAGTATTACAATGGTTGTATTCAACAATTTTCACCGCTTAATCGCCATGGCGCAGCATGTTCCCTGACCAATATGTGGTCCATAGATCACGAGTATCTCATGAGTTGAATATTGTGTTACCAATTTCTAAAAGAGTACTAGTAATGATTTTCGCCTCTAAATGCGATAAGAAGAGACTTCTGAATGAGTGTCTGCTTCAATAACGCATTCGTGCAATACATTCATTGGACATGATTTATTGAGGTAGACAAAAATGGGAACTATCAAATCTTTGGTTTATGTTATTGTGAATAGATGAAGGCGACGCAATAAAGGAAGCGTATGCATATTCATGTATTTATGTCTGTTTATGTGTTTATGTCAGCGCAAGAAAATGAAACAAACCTAAAATGTTTCGAAAAACCAAAACATAGGGTGTTTGCTATCGCAAAGAATTGATCATCTTTACACTATGTAAGTAATCTCACAAATGTTATTCAGGGAAGATCACGAACCGGGAAACCCTGCTATAGAAATCGTGGACATGGTTCAGTCGATACTCAATCTTAAAATAATTACGGATCCTAGGGGTCTGAGCAATTACTCAGACAATGGTGCACCATCCTTTCCTAACGTGAGTCTTCCATTAAAAGTTTAGTGAACTAAATGGCATCTGACTCGATCTAAATGTCTGAAAAGATGGAGGAAAGAGTTGAGGAACTTACGCCGTGTCTAATGTCAATGCAGACTGAACATCGAGGGCCTTCTTAGAGTCATTCGGCTTGAAATTCAGAAAGTCTCATATTCTGCACTACAGCCTATAAAGTGGATGTAGTCCTTAGCCTACCTCCAACCTCCAAGCATCGCTCTACCTCATGTTTGTTCCAACTGCACCAGCATAGCGCGAATATAAGTGATTTGGGAAAACGGGCAAGAAAATGCTGCGTGTAGTGTTCATAACGTAAGCAACTCAAAATGTAAATTTCTCGCCAATGTCGAAACTTCCTTTAATTGCACATGTACGACATCTTACAAGGGAACCTTGTTTAATCGAAGTGGATTTTTAAATGAAATGTATACCTATTGGAGAGCATAAAATACTGATTTCAAATCTGCATTTCTTATCTGCGGAACGTTCGTGGACGAGAAGTTATGAGAGTTTATTAAAAATTTACATGTGCAAATAGGATAAAAATTGTCGCAAAATTCTTTCTAGAGCTTTAATGGAGCAGTAATGATTATCAAAGCGCTTTATTCAATAGATACTTTTATATAAAAACATAGATCACACTTGGTTGCCTCATTTGAGAACTAGGGAGGTTTTAGCAACGCATTTTATCCTAAAAGAACTTTTCTTTATTACTTAATAAACTTCCATAACTTCTCGTCCATCAATGTTCCGCAGATAAAGAAGACAGATTTGGAATCAGCATTTTATGTTCTCCAATATGGTGTGCATCTCACCTGAAAAGGTCACTTCGCCTAAACAAGGTTCCGTTGTTAGCTTTGTTTATATTACTGGAGATATATATATATATATATATTTAGTTGATGCAAGCGGCAGCTACGAAATTGGGCTGCACAATCCAGCATTGTCCATCATTATATGATTACTATGATGAGTCTGTCAGTGTATTATGTCTAACGGACCGAACGTAAGCTATATACTCATACAAAGTAAAGTTTACGAGCAAACTTTTTTATATCTCTTTGCCTACTTGATGAAGCAATCGGATTTATCACATTTGTCTCCACTTTTCAACTACGACAGAGAAAGTTAACTACCTTCTTACGACTTTACTAAACTTGGCGTTTCTCCATCCCACTGTAATGACTGGTAGCTTAGTAAGCCTGTTTTCAACATGATTAATACAATGTTCAAGAAAAAGCGTTTTTTTAGCTTGTTCATGCAAAAAGAGAAAATAATGCGCTTGTTTGGCAACTCATATTTCCAGTAGTTGTGTCATATTTGGTTAGCTCAGAGATTTAGATTGACGGACGGCTCTGAAGTTTATACAGAAGGGAGTGCTGATGACTGCGAATGCTCAGGAGATCGTGTGTGTAATCCTGTCACTATGATATGTGAGGTGCCTACCGCGACTTTTACTACAAGCACTATAATCACCACTACACCCACTACGACCTCTACGACTATGGCTATAAAACCTTCTAGTAACGCAGTGTCACCTTTCTCTACAAGAGGTAAGTAGTAGACTTTTGCATTGTTTGAATAAGTCAGGAAACAAGTTAGTTGACGAGCTTCGCCCTCTAATCTTCAGCAACATGATGTTGGAAAGCGATAGAGCGTACTTATGAAGACTAGCTTCGAAGTCTCAGCCATAACTACAGCATGCCTTTAAAGAATGTAACAAACGATGATAGTCGATGACTCTTTTGTTTAAGTAGCAAATGCAGAAATTCAGAATTCAAGTTCATGTGTAGGACTAAATTCAACCTACATTCGCATTGAAAATTGAATCACCTTGCCCTTCATCTCGACTAGCTGGCATACCCGGCTCCACCCGGCCCTGTCAAAGCCATGATAAATGTTACCATCTTGTTCGTGTGCAACAATCCCCCAAACAACTTTTACATGCCGGTTCCGTATTCTCACCATGTTAAGCAGTCAACATGCTAACTTACCCTCTGTGCCCCTTCAGCCTGGTAGCTCAAACGTTGCGAAAATCGATGAGAAGCGGTGAAATTGAAATTGATCGATGATGAAAGGTAGCCTACCCGAATCGGTTCGGAAATAAGGTCTTCTATTTGAAACATACGTAAACACAGACATACAAATAGACGAACAGAGAGACAAACAGACCTTCAGCTTTATATACAGGGTGTCCAAAAAATGTGCCTACTGTTTGTTTGTCGGGAAGCTTCGGGAAGCCTTAGGTACCATTTTGTAGAGCGTGGTTAAACTTAGATTTACAGTATGGAGCGAGTCACCGATCGCTCTTCGTTACTGTAGGATTACGGTAAGAACTTCCAGCATATGGGACCATTGTTAAAAATACCACCTAACAAAATTCGTGTCAAAAAATCTGAAAAATCGTGTACTAGAGTTTTCGCGCATGCTGATTCCACCTAACAACTTTTTACGAGTGTTTTCAGCTTTTTTGACAGTGTAACTACATTTTTGACAAACGCTGAGAATTGAGTTATTACGATTTACCGGGGATAACTTAGGAAAGAAGCATCACCTTAAAGTGGGAATTTCAAATTCGAAATTAGCTGCTCCTACCGTAGTATAAGAGGTTTTGGGCTTGTTTGATTTTGTTCCGACGCAGAATATGGCCCAATGGCCTAAAAACCTTGTCGAAGTTCGTACCGTAATCTTACAGTAATGAAGAGCCTTGGGTGATTCGATCCATACTATATGCCTAAGTTTAACCTCGCTCTACAAAATGGTACCTAAAGCTTCTCGAAACACTTCAATACAAGAGAGTTATTAACAATCAAACAGTAGGCACATTTTTTTGGGACACCCTGTAAAAGACTAGCGACCTGTAGGGTCGCTAGCCAGCAGGTAGAGCAAATTCATGGAAAAATGCTATTATAGATTTAGAAATATCATTCTCCACTTCACCATATGCATGCACAGTTGCTCTCAAAAGCGAGTTCTTTGGAAGTCTTCTCAAAATTTTTTCGGCAAAGGGTGATATTTCCTTAAAGTAGTGCAGTCTGCGCGAAGAATTTTTCACCGCGTAATTGCTCTTTGAAGTGAGTTGTTCACAGATTTTCTCAAGAATTTGCTCGAAAAATGGATGGAACGCTCCTAAGATAGTAAACGTTTTGCGTAATGGTGCACTCCCCTCCCACACCACACTTTCGGAGAGAAAAATGAATTTGCTAAGCAATTGCTCTTCAAAGCAAGTACTAAAGTTGAAGAAGCAAAAGAGTTTATCCATACAATGAGCATTTTCTAAAAGACGCGCTTTTTAGCTTTTTAAAGCTAACTCTAAATCTGATTTTTATATCATTGGTAATTAGTTAATACACGCATATCCTTGACAGGTTTTCGTGGACTCTTACCAGGTCCTCTCCGCAGCGCTCGCTCTCCTAATTATCTCCTGCGGTTGCAGGCGACAAAATTTTGGCTTTTTGCAGCGCATCCGGCTTATCGATATTTTTTGGTTCCCACTTGAAGGCACTTTTCACGCAGAATTCAGGTAGTAAGATTTTGATGTTTTGTGATAGAGGGGAGCGTAAGTGTATAATCGCCAACGAAATCCTAAAAAAACTTATTTTCAGCTCTTAAATGCCCCAGTTATTACAGAATTTCAAAAGCCAAATTCACCATTGTTGTGCCGCTTACACACCAATATCTATTATATTTGATAATTAATCTCTGTGACTTTGAATGTGTTATAGAGGTATGGCCCATAGGCTCTGCATCATCATGTCTTTCTGCGTATTCAAATGAACTTCATTGCTGTGATACTACTGACAATGAGCCTCTTCTTCCCGTCTTATATATTAGGTTGTCCCATAAGTCTTTTCATGTTCGAACCTTCATATCATTATTTCTCAGGAACAGGGCCTGGCACAGATCGTCTGGAAGCAGGCTGGACTTCGTTTTTGAAGCAAAAAGCAAAGGAGATATCGTTTTTGACGAGTAGGGGCCGAGCACCAAGAATAAGCGCCATTTAGTCGAACACAAGCTTTTCGGACGGGTTATCACGCGATTGGCATGCTCTATCGTATATGGCGAAAAGTGCGCGCGATTTGAAAGCAAGGCTAAAACAAACAAATTGCTTGTTTACAGCGTAAACACAAGCTTTTGACACCAAATTTGTACCATATAAGTAAAATATTATTTGAGGAAGGTCTATGTAAAAAGTTTTGAAAACTGATGTGAAGTAATACCTTTCCCCAAATTAGATCGTCTCCAGACGGCCACCAGACGATCTGAGATCGTCTGGAGCATATATTAGGTTGATGCAAAAGTGTTCTTTCGCACCAAATTCAAAAATTCATAACTTGTTGAATTCTCAACGAATCTGCAAGATCTAAAATTTGCTTAAGAGAGGAACTCATGCTCTTTGCAAATGTAATTGAACTGTTCGTTAATGTTTACAAGTGAAGGAGATAGAAGCTCAAAACCAAAATCACTCAAAATTTGAATTTTTTGTGTAGCTTCATAAGAAATCGGAAAATTCCAACAAAAATCGGAGCAGTCAGTATTGTAGGTTCTTTCACAAGCTCTTTCTAATGGTGTAAAGTTTGCGCTGATTGAGCGTCTCTATGAAAAGTTATGATTTTCCTGAAAAATGTCAAAATAAATCAAATTCGCCTTTTTGTATTGCTTGCTCGAAAATCATAACCAGGGTCAAGCAAGGGGTGTGGCACACGATTGCTGGTTACGACCCCCCCCCCCTGATTGCTGTCTCAATAGACCCCCCCCCCTGGATTATATACCTAAGATAGCATTACCTGAAGGCCCTGTCAAACATAATGGGCAACATATTCATAATGAGCATGTCAATTAACCCCTGTAGACAAAGTTTGAGCGAATTCTGAAAATTCAAGATACTAGGCTACCTAAGTGTAATGGTCATATTCCAACATGGTTGACTTTGTTTCAAACGTGAATTAGCTATCCGTTTTTGCACTTAAGACAAAGCACTACTCCTTCTTTGTCCATCTCAGAAATCCCGCTTCAAAAGACCTCCAAACTGTGGAGTTAGAAGCCAACCAAAATCTAATCTTTCCCATTTTTCGCTTTTAATGGCTGTGCTTTCACCAAATATTACTCAAAGCTAAGAAGACGAATCAGGCTTAAAACATTTCTATGAAATCTACGAGGTTTAGGCTATCGATTCATATAAATACTGTTCGCTAAAAAGGTTTTTTTGATATAGTTAATGGGGTGCGGCACACCCCCTTAAAAGCTGTGGCAGCTGCAGCTTTTAAGGGGGTGTGCCGCACCCCATTAACTATATCAAAAAAATATTTTTAGCGGACAGTATTTATATGAATCGATAACCTAAACCTCGTAGATTCCATAAAGATGTTTTGAGCCTGATTCGTCTTCTTAGCTTTGAGTAATATTTGGTGAAACACAGCCATTAAAAGCGAAAAATGGGAAAAATGAGATTTTGGTTGGCTTCTAATTCCACAGTTTGGAGGTCTTTTGAGGCGGGATTTCTGATATGGACAAAGAAGGAGTAGTGCTTTGTCTTGAGTGCAAAAACGCTAATTCACCTTTGAAACAAAGCCAACCATGTTGGAATATGACTTTCACTTAGGTAGCCTAGTATCTTGAATCTTCAGAATTCGCTCAAACTTTGTCTACAGGGGTTGATTGACATGCTGACTATGCATATACTCGTTAAGCTTCCTACTCTTTATTAAGCTAAGGTAGTCAATATCTCATGCGTTTTTATTTCGCATGGTGGGGTCACCTAAACCTTTACGAATATCACTATTATCAGATTACCCAACTACGACCCCCTCCCCTTTTAACTCCTCAATACGACCCCCAGGTGTGGCGTGCCACACCTCACGCTTAACCCTGATCATAACTTTACATAGAAACACTCAATCGGCGCAAACTTTGCACTGTTAGAAAGAGCTGGTGAAAGAACCTACAATACCGACTGCTCCGGTTTTTTGTGCAAGTTTCCGATTTTATATGACCCTACGCGAAAAAATCAATTTCTGAGTGATTTTGGTTTTGAGCTTCTATCTCCTTCACTTGTAAACATTAACGAACAGTTCAATTACATTTGCAAAGAGCATGAGTTCCTCTCTTAAGCAAATTTTAGATCTTGCAGATTTGTTAAGAATTCAACAAGTTATGAATTTTTGAATTTGGTGCGAAAGAACTTTTGCCAACCTAATATTTCCGTTACTTCACATAAGTTTCGGTTTTTTCAGCATGGATGGATTCGCTGGTCTAAAATCTATCTTACAGCATAAAAACATTTTCATATAGTTGTCTTTTTATTGTTTTTGACTCGTTTTCTTTATGAACTGCTTTGTTAGATATCGCGCTCTGATGCCAAATTCTTGCGCATCCGCAGAATTCGACTCCACTTTGTATTTTCACTCTTATTTCAGGGTTTTCTTTACAAACTGGTGAATCTTTCCTATTTTCATCTTCCACCAACTCGATAAGTTTCTTACAAGGGTCAAAGGGGACTTCGTAAATTTTTCTAAAGTCAGGGGGAACTTCGTTTCCAGAAGCTCTAGAAACCGACTCGTGCCGGGCCCTGCTCAGGAACTAGGGCACCTACAAGGTTGAAAATTTGTGACAGTATTTCTGAGTGACTAAGCTTTATAACCACATATTTGCGAGCAACACGGAACCGCTACAGGCAAAGTTTGAAAATTTAGCTCATTATTTTTTTCATGATTTCTGGACATTGGAAAAATGCGGCAAGTGCATGTATAATTATCCGATGAGGAGAGTATGTGCGTGAGCAAGTAGGAAATCTGCAGAGTTGCTTTGACTTGAGATATGACAATTTTCGTTTTTTCAGGAATTTGGAAAAATTTTTATTTTGGCTTGCAAGGTATGCGGAGAAAGCTTTGTGCGAATTTTTGAATGGCATCTTGTAGAGCTTGCTTCAATATGTCTAATGGTGCCCCGCATCTTATCAGAAACACAAGAAGAGCTGACTTATGATAATGAAAAGCCAGATATGAAAAGATTATGGGACAATCTAATATTTTAGTGCTGCAAACCCATATTTAGCCATTAACATTCCTTTTACAGAAGCACAATCTAATATAAGTCTACAGTCCACTAGTCCACAATCCTCTACAAGTTGGCCATTTACTACTGCATCTACAAAAAGTATAAAATCAACAAGACAATGCGTCACAAGGCCACGTTGTGTCCCTGCAAAGTCAAGGAAAGCGAGAGCTGCAAATTTTGGAGAGGTACCGTAAATTGTGTGATTACGGTAAATATCATTCTCCAAATCTGTTTTCTTTTCAGACATTTTCTGGAAAACTAAAAAGGCACATGTCACAGAAGATGATGAAAAAGATAGACACCGTTGGTGGGTTCGCGAATGCGCATAAAAAGAAGCCGATAAATTAAAAAGTCATTGGTTGTAAATTAATTCTATATTTAATATTTTCTTTCTTTCCAAACGTGTCGTGTTGGAAAGTTTGATTTGCTGCTTTTACATGAGTAAAAGTGGAGTGAAATTGCAATAAAAGCATATTTGCATTTTTGTCATACATGTAATTTCTTTTAGAAGATCAGTTTACCGCTGAGCCGCAGAATGACACTACAAGCGAAGTATCAGTTCAAGATGATATTTGCACTGGAAAAAAGTTATTGAGCATTACAACAGCTGTTGAATTCGTCGATGTCCTAAAGAAAAACGAAAATCTGTGGTTGTTAGTGCTTTCGTGGTCATATAAAAGTGAAAGAGTGAAAGCCATTACAGGAAGATCCAACATCGTTTGCAAAATTGAAGGATAACTTTATCAAAAAAGTTTTACAGTTTCAGTGAAAGTAAGCCCCAAAAGTTTCTTCGAGTCTGGCATTCGCTTTTTTTACGTCCGTCTCTTTTGACATTGCCTGCGTCAATCTCCTTATTTCGGACAAGAATTCGAAAGAAGGAAAATAACAAATAACGAAAAGCTAGAACCGCTGAAGCATTAAAAAACACTCTTTGCGCCTTCCTACCAGATTAACGAAGAGCAAAATGGTGACAATATTATAGTATATAGTGGAAAAGAAAAATGTGTGAAAAGGCTGATCAAAAAAGCAACATTAGAGTAATGAAGATTCTTCAACTAAGAATTTCTGTCGCAGTACTTGCGCAGACCGACTGAAGTACGAGCCAAGGACAACCAAGTGACGAAGTCCTAATGAAAAATTCGAACAATCTGGAAAATCAACGAACATAACGTCTCGTTCGGTTTGCAATAATTGGTGAGCTGAGAAGGTCACAAAAATAAACAGCACAATGTCTTTACTTAACAAAGTTTAGTTTCAACAAATGCGATGATGTTTTTTGGCTGTCAAGTGGTTTGCTTAATTGGATAGCCTGCATCACACATATCTAATGCATATCGGTCGAAGGATGCTACACGTTTTAGGAGTAGCTAGCTATATGTACTCCTTGAGGATTATGGCATTTCTTTAAAGGCGATGAGCTCCACTCCTGGAATTCTTTCCAAGAACAAGTAGAATTACGTTCCTCACCGTATAAAAATGCATTTTTTAAGGATCTTTGTCTTGACGCACCATCCTACCACGCTCGTCCTGCTCTTCGTTATTTTTGTTCAGATCTACTTCATGTGTTCCAGGAAGGCGGAAGGCGCTACATAGTTTTCACAGCCACCCTTCTTGAGCTAAGGCATGCCAGCAACTCTTAAACGCGAAAAATCAAAACTTCCTTCCTGTTTTCTGACGAGTTAAACTTTTGGGCACATTTTTTCTTCTATCCAGCTTTTCCTTGTGATAAGAAAAGCTGCGAACTTTAGGTGGGGTTAAAGAATGAACGTTGTTTTGCTCTATGTATCCGGAAAGATGGGTCTTTGTTGTGCTCGTCCATTCTCTTTTCGTTATTTTTCTTCAAACCCACTTCATGTGTTCCAGGAAGCCGCTGCTTGTTCCGCGTTTGTATTTAAAGAACATAGACAGTTTTCTAGAAAACGTGAAGTGAGTTATGAGCAAAAATAATGAAGAGAGAATGGACGAGAACAAGAAAACCCACTTTGGCGGTCACATAAAGAAGAATAGCGTTCATTTTTCAACTCGCTTCAGGATCAAGCACAATAACAATCAATAAATCATTAAATGAACTTATCATTATTGTAAATCACTGAAGTAGGGCGATACGCTACGTGTACGGTAGATAAATAGGCATTTGCAGCAGTGTGGCGATGATTAGCGCTCGCTAGGAGCATGCGATCAAAGAAGGAAAACGAAAAAGACTCAATCAATAAATAAATATATAAACTGATACCTATGTGTGAGTGCCAGCAATGCAGATGATTATATGTTACGGTGCAATTTATGTTTGTAGATTAGAGAGCCTTTATCGAGGCTGGCTGGATTGAATCCAAAACGAGAGAAACATGCGTCCAGAGGATCAGCTAAACTATAATGATCGATTAAACCGATCGATGTAGAAAAATTGTAACAACTGAAAAATATAAGTACATCAGAAGATATGGAGGTAACGAGAATTTCTTTTGATGGGAGAAGTGGACGGGGAACTTTCGAGTTTATCAGAAAATGGCGTCCTAAGAATTCAAACATGAAAAAGGTGATTTTCAATATATGCGAACTTTTGAGAAGAAGGTAAAAACTGTTCTCGGAAATGTTGAGATTTATTATTTTAAAGGCAAAGAAATATATGAAAAGAAGAGATCAAAATTTGCAGCAAATTACGGCAGCAGCTGGTAGCCGACGATACTGAAGCTACAGTAAGTCGCCGGAGTTACTGTAGCTCACTACATAAGGATTACTGTATCAAGCGATTTAGCCCACACCTGAAGGATAGTTAGATAAAGTCGAAGATTGTGAGCAAACTGTAGCCATCCAAATTGAAATTTTTTTTCTGTTCTGTTAACGTTGATGCAGTAATCAGTCACATCCAAAAGAGCTACTGTAGCTATCGATCACTGATAGGAGCGACGCGACAACGTTAAGCCATTTTTGGGAGTTTCCTAGTTTTTCAGCGAGTGGGAGAAAAGGGGGGAGGGAAGGGGAACGAAAAATCCTTCAGATAAAAAAGTGCTGGTATTGAGCACGCTTTGAGCAGAAATTTTTGAGATTTTTTAAGGTTTTTGACGAAAGAGGGGGGGGGGGAGAGGGGAGGGATTTGCAGAAAGATGGGTAATATTAGCCACACCTTGCGGAATCTTTTTGAAATGTCCCAGATTTTTAGCTGCGTTATTACCCTGTAAATTTTCAAAAAAGATGTATGGCGGTAGCCACACCTCACCCCTTCAAAATTGATAGAGTTAATTTGGATTTTGCAAAATGCTCAGACATCATTCTGATTTTTTTGACCTCGCAAAATGAGAGGAGAGAAAAGGCTTTTCCTCTCGGACCGACATCGCTATCTACCTCTAAGGCCCCGGGCAGACTTCACGCGATTTGATCGTCGCGACTGAGTCGCGACGAGACAACTGTTACAACATCATTCCATGCCGATCAACTTGCATTCGGTTGTGATACTTTTCCAGGCCGACATTTTTGAATGTGAAATGAAAATGAATGGAAATCTTGGCGATTAGATCGCGACGATTAAGTCGCGTGAAGTCTGACCGGGGCCTAAAGATAAATGATTCATGATTTATAGCTTAGTAGATATTATTATTGAACTAAATGTAAATAAGACATGACGTTAGAAGTTCGCATAACCCCACCTCATTGAAACATGCCCTTTATGTAAGTTTAAGTTCTCTAATGGCCAATCATCACTCAAGCACTTGCTTTATAGGAATGCTGCCAAACATCGCTATAATTTCTTTGCAAAAAATTAAACAATTCTCATTCTCTAGACATTGTCGTCGAGATCCAATACTTCACCCAGAGCGCTTTGTATCTGCAACTTACTAGGAGATTTACAACTCGTTGAAGAATATTTTTTAATGTAGGGAACCATGTTTAGTCGAAGTGGCATTTCTGGTAGGTATACCATATTGAACAGCATGTAATGCTGATTCCCAATTTTTGCCTCCCTTATCAACAAAACGTTTGTGAACGAGGATTATGAGCATTTATTGAAGCAAAAAAGAAAAAGCGCATTTAGTATTATATGAGCTGCTAAAATCTCCCTAGCACTTGAACAAGCGTGATTTATTTATCTGTACGAATTTTAAATAAGGTGCTTCATATTCATCATTCTCCACATAAGCGCTAGAAAAATTATTATGACAATTTTTCTCCTGGTTGCACACGTAATTTTTTGCTCTATTAAAAGCTCACAACTCCGCACTGATAAACGTTTTGCAAATGAGGAAGCTTGAAATTCATCCCATCGAAAAAGGCCACTTCGACTAAACGTGGTTCCCTTGTAAGATCGATGCAATAGGAAACAATATGGTAACGCATGAAATAACCTCCAAAATTCTGTAAATCCCTTTTTGAGAGTTGACGACTAAGAAGTAGCCACGTGCATTTCCCATCTCATCTCAGACAATTATTGTGAGCACCCGCGGCCCCTAACGGCACCCTTTGGCGGTTAGGCGTCAAATTCTTGGACTGACCATCGGTGGCCCTAAATTTACTTGCTTGGCAACCCGCGGTCCGAGGTTACCATTACGGAAAGGCCGCAGGCCTCAAATATTTTATCGCAACACCCGCGGCCCAAGGACCATTCGGGCGGACCTCGGCCCTTACAGAATCCCCTGCATATGTAGTTTTCGGGTCAGCCCCGGCCTTCTAGGCTACGGCCCGACAGAACCACCCTGGCGAGCCCTGGGCCTTGCTGGACGCCGCAATTCTTACACGCTGTAAGAGGAATGTTGCTTGCGTGAGATACGGCGCGGTGGTAGAGCTACCCTCAACATTTGATCGCAAGGACAAGGAAAGTTCTGGTCATCGAAAGTCTCTTGAATGACAAGACTGGTGCCCTCCATTGTGGGGGTAGGCTTGGAGCGTTGGATGTTACCCTGTATTTTTGTGTAAATTTCGTCTTTATGTGCTAGACTGGAAGTGGAAACGAATGTATTGTTCGGGCGCCTATCCGGTTACCCGCGGGCACCATCGGGCGCTTATCGGGCACTTATCGGCGCGCCCTCGGGATGAGCGTGGCGTTTGAGGGCATGAATTTGAGCGCAGGCCTGCTGTTAGGTCTATGTCGGGTGCGCTTCAAATACGAAAACAGATTTTTCTAGTTCTTACTTCGTTAATCATCTATAGGATAGATGGAGCCCTCTTTCTTCCAAACCAGTCGTAAAACTGCGCAATCACCCATAAAAACACATTCTCGGGAATAAAATACGCATGAATTTATTTTTGAGAGAGAAAAAACACATAAGCGTTTCTTATAAAGGTACGACACAGCCGGACTAAGGCGACTGTTTTAACTTTTGATTATGTACATGCACAAAAGACTTTGGAAGCCGAGAATTACTTTAGCGGACAGAAACCTTAGGTGGAATTATAGTTTTGGCCAACCTTCAAACCTGCTTTTTTCGAATTTTTCGATTTTTTCCTGAATAATAAAATAAAAATGGGACTCGTTTTAATTACTGATAGTAGACTGTTAAGCACACAACTGTACCAAATTTCAGTTTGATTCGTTGAGAAGCAGATGAGTTACGGCAGTTTTCAGGGTGGAATTATAGTTTTGGCCAGTACTGTATAAGAAAATTACTCTTGATTCTTGTTCTAAATTTTTGGCAACAAAAAATGAAGAACAAGAATCAAAATCAGTTTTTTGCTGATTGATATCATGTGCAGACACACAGTGGGAGAGATTGCAAATGTTTTGGCTATTAAACAAATTATTCTTA